GCCATTTGAGAGTAGGTTGCATAAATCATGCCTCTTTACCCCTTAATTCTTCAGTATATGTTTTCTAAGAATAAGGCTATTTGGTAACATAACCAGTGTACAATTGCCCAATTCAGAAAATGTAATATTGATGTATTTTTATTTATTATATAGAGTTAGTACTCCAATTTAGCACTTATCCTCAGAAGTTCTTTATAGCAGTTTTTTTCTTTACAGGATCCAGTCTAGAATGAAAAGTTACACTTATAGGGTTATATCTTTTTATTCTCCTGTATTCCAGAATAATTCCTCAGCCTCTGTTTATCTTTAATCATGTTGATACTTTTGAATAATTAAGCCAGATATTTGACTGAATGTCCCTCAGTTTGGGTTTGTATGATGTCATGGTTTTCGCTGGCATGTGGCTTTGGGGACATTGTGTTCATTCTGGGATAGGACACCCAGAGACAGAGTATCTGTTGCTCTTTATTGGTGATTTTAAATTGATCACGTGCTTAAGGTATTATCTGGTTGCTCCACTGTATAGCTACTAATTTTCCTCTTGGGATTAATCAGTAATTTGTGGGGAGATATTTGAGATTATATTTCCTCCCAAGATTTAACACCCACTGATGATTCCTGCCTCAATCAATTTTATCTATGTTTGTGAAGAAGTGATATGTTTAAGATTCTATCATCCTTCAGTATCTATTAGTCAGCATTATACTATAAGCATTTTTATTTCATTCATTATTCATTCATTCATTATCAGCACCATCTCATGGGTTCTTATTTTGTTCAATGGACTGTAATTTGGCACCATTTCCCGGAATTGGCCAGATGGGATCTCCTTCAATATTTCTTTTGTATTTCTTTTTATTAAGGAATTTATGTGTATACAATAAAACCTTCCCGTTTGCATTATACATGGTACCCAGCACCACAGATGGGATTAGAAGAGTTCCCATATCCTAAAACATTTTTGTGCCCATTGCAGCTCATTCTTTGCCACCACTTCCGATCCTGGCAAAGTTTCATTTTTGTCCCCAGTTTTGCCTTTTTCTAGAAGTTCATCTACATGAAATAAACTCAAATCCACTCAGTAAGAATTAAAAAAATACTTGACTGGATTTGCTAACATTTGTTTAGGATTTTCACATGCATAATCTTGAGTGAGTTTATATATAAATTTCCTTTCTCATACTTTCTTTATCAAGTTTGGGGATCAAGGCTACTGTAGCCTCATAAAGTTCTTTGGGAAGTATTTCCATGTTCATAATTTCCCAAGAGAATGTAGAAGATATTGGAAGAATCACTCAAAGGTGGATAGGCCTGGTGTTTTTTTTGTGAGATTTCAAACTACTGATTCAATGCATTCAATTATTGTAAGACTCTTCAGCCTTTTTAAATTTCTGAATCAGAACTGGTAAACTATTTCACATGAGACTTCTGACCATTTAATATAGCTTTCAGATTCAGTGACACAATGTTATTCTTAGTATTCACTTTGAATTTTGCAATCTCTGCTTTATCTGTAATATGTCCTTTTTGAAACCATTTCTCATATAGTTTATTCTTACCAACTTTCTGATGAATATTTGTCAGAGATTTATAATCTTCAGTGGGTGTGTGTTTTAAGAACAAGATGTTGAATGTGTTAATCCCCTCTATTGTACATCTGTTTTCCATTTGAAACCATAGTAGAAAAGAGAAAGATTCTTTGAAGGATTTATTTTTTGTGACAGGTGGATTTTTTTTCTTTCTGGCCCATTTTTCACAAATACAGACATTTCCATGACTTCTGACCTAACGTGCGTATCGCACCTTCAATTTTAGTGCAATGAGTGGTCCCAGGGTTTTGTCTGAATCCAAGTCATCTCTAAAGGTTTTCTTTTGCCCCCAGGATTCACAGATTCTGGGTTAGAAGGTTATTCCTCACTCATATGCTTTCCACTAATTTTTTCACCTCTGTAGGTGTTTTACATACTGTCCTGCCAGCTCATCAGTGAATTTGAAAATGTGCTTGTTATAACTTATCCAGAAGATATTAAAATCCCTAGCCGTCATGCACCTAGGAGCAGAAGTATGTTTAATTAAAGACAAATTTAAACTAAAAATAAGATTAGAAAAGAAAATACAATTCCATATAGCTATGCACTCCAACAGAGCTGTAATGTGAACCACACATGTAATTTTAGATTTCCTGGTGGCTACATTAAACAATGGAACAGAAATAGATGAAGTTAATTTTTAAAATATATTTTATTTGACCCCCATATCAAAATTACTGTTATTTACATGTAATCAATATTAAATTATTAATGAAACAGGTTTACATATATTGCACCAAGTCTTCAAAATGTCTGTATTTTTATACTTAGGCACGATTTTATTTGGACAAGCCACATGTCAAGTGCTCAATGTCACATGACATTGAATAGATAGTGCAATATATGCTATCTTAACCATGTTTTTATTATATAAATCTAGATGTTCTCAATATAGGCTTAATCTCTCAAATATTTTCCTGATCTCCTCTTTGTATTTGCCTTTAAAAAATGATTCGTATTTTCTCTAAATGTAAAGTGAGAGAACATTTTCAGGAACTTCTCTGTTTTAAAAACTGTAATTCATATAAGACCTTGATATTGTCAAACTATTTTTCATTGTTTTAACAACTATGCCTGTTAAAGGCCGCTGCAGGCAAGGAATGGAGGAGATATTTCATTTTTGTAGTTTAAAGCTTTGGAATAAAAATAATCAGGCACTTGATGTGCTCATTCATTATGTTAAAATGTGATAGCAAAATAGTTTAGAAATATGTGTGAGTGTTGTATTTCAGGAGCTGAAAGATGATTCCATTTTTTCCATACTAATGATTTCAGGGATAACTTCATCGTTGTTATGACAGTGAGCATATGCAAGCATTTATTTTGCTGGATGTTTGAAAAGCAAATGCCCTACCGTATATAATACTTACTATTAGGCTGGTTTAGGCTTGTTTAGGGGCAGGGGATAGAAGTAGGAATAAGACATTCCTGCCATCATGGACTATCTCACAGAACAGTATGATTTCAAGTATTGCATTCCAAGTAATGCAATAAATATCATGTGCATTATTCTCTATCCATCCACCTACTTATGTACGTGGACTATCAACATGAAATACATTATGTGCAATTTTTCCCATATAGATTAGGAAATCGGAGGAAATGTTCATAGAGGCTGTCCTTGATCCAGGACTCGAACAGTGTTCGATGTCATGAATGTACAGTGGCCTCAAAATAAGTTTCACATATGGAGGCTGAGTGGTGTTTCTAATGCACCCATTTTAATTACAGCTATATTTTGAAAATATTCCCCTATTTGCTTCAGCTGCTTTCTTAGGTACAACTGTGATTATCCAGAAAGCAAAATATAATGCTTCAGTATGATTAAAAATATTTACCTTTCTTGATAGAAAACTGTGGTGGTTGCTTTAAAAAAATTTTTTTTTCCTAAGGACGTAAGATACTCCTTTTAATAATATGATAACTGAAAATAATTGACTCAACGTTTATAGAGTGATATGAACAATGTGAAATGTCTTTCTTAGTGTATAAGGGCTGATTCTGAGGGTTTATGGAACTTAATTTTTGCTTCTCAGTTCTTTCATTTTCTTTAATAAGTCGGTATAGAATTATCCCAGTCCTTCAGAATTTACCAGTCGCATCCTCCTATCTTTCCCCCCTTCCTTCTTTCCCTCCCCCATCCCTTCCTTCCTTCCTTTCTTTCAGCTAAAGACCCAGTGCCGTCCCCTGGTGTGAAGAATCCAGCTCCTTCCGCGAGTCAGCTATGTTCAGTCACGGGCTTCTTGCACTTCTCATTAATCTTGAGTAAAGGCAAGTCACAAACACTTTGACCAGGATGGGAAACTCATGAGCATAAAGCAAGTGGCTCGTCTTTGTCCTTCGGTAATGGTAATAGCCAAGAGAAGCGCTTATGTTCCAATTGACACCTTTGAGCAACTGCCATCAATGAATGAGTAGCACATACAGGTGAAGGTGGGTCTCTTTCGGCACATCCTATGTGAAGCAGTCCTTTTGTGAGGGAAAATCAAAAGCTACCAAAAAACTCAGTGGACTGAACATCTGGGAGACTCTGACATCGAGGCGTTTGAAATGCCCGGATCAAGACACAAGGGAGTCATTTCAAAGGCATCCCAATCCTTTGATCTTACTGTGGTGAGGACCAAAGTCTAATTCGGCCAGTGGCCAAGGAGATCACCGCGATGGGCCAGTACATTATAGCAGCCAAGGCAAAATACTCCCTCTATGTTGACGGTACTTGTGAAGAAAGACTGTGTGTTCATTTCAGGTGAAGCCATAGAACCTTAATAGTAGTCTGATATTCGATTTTGAATGCTCTCTAAGTATATATTTACCATGGAAACTATAATAATAAACAATAATTTAGCTTCCAGCATCCTTATAAGTGACTGTTTGAAGGGATAACTGCATAGGCACGGCACAACTCTACTAAAACCAAAACACGTAATTGCCTCTTGACCCCCTCACTAATGAAGGCATTCATTTCACGGAATGAACTCAGAAGACCACCCTGCCTGCTGGGCACTCAGGCAGCTGTGCCTGGAAGGTGCTGCCCTCTCTCCTCAGCACAGGGCAGGAAGCAGGCGGGAATTCATCTGCACAGGATAGAAACGCTGGGCAGCTTTTCAGCTCTTGGAGAGTCAAGTCTTGACAGTGACTTCATTAGTTTCATTAGAGTACCATCTATTCCCAAATGTCACATGATCTCTATTCAAATGTAAGTAAGGAAATATAATCCAAAGACAAACATAACTTGTTTGGTGATTATCCAGTGTTTATAAATATTCATGCTCTGGCTTTCCTCCAGGGAAAACATGAGGAGCGTGGAGAGTTGATTTTTTATGTCATGATTCTAGATTCTGATCAAGTCAGTGATTGACTGGGGACTCAATTTCTTTATGTTAAAACGGTGGGGGAGACATTAAGTTTATTATTAGACCAACCCCTTCCAAAAATATCCATCAGGTTAAGTTTTGTGATTCTAACAAATTAATATCAAAGGCATCAAAATGATTTCACCAGACCAACAACAAGCCATTCTGGTAACTAAATATGGCTTGCTTCCATCTTCTCCGTGCCCCAGCAACTGGTGTAGTTTATCTTCTGATAGAACTACTGTAGTGGTCTCATAAATGATTTCATTGACTTCATTGTAATGCCCAGTTTATCCTCTCTTTTCCAAAGTGTATTCTTGGCAGCCATAATCCTAGGAGATATTTGGTCAAGGTAAAAACAAAAGGTTGCCATGGTGACATAAGTTAGGGACAAGTTGTATATTCCTTTTCTTGGAGAAATAAGACAAAGAAGATCAAGTTAAACATTTTGGAAAGTTTAGGGTAAGTATGCTTAAATCATTTCAGTATGCTTCAGGCATCCTTTCTCCAAACTTATTTGACCAGAAATCACTTGGAGGCATAATTCTTAATATCCCAGTGTCCCTAGGAACATCCTCTGTAAGGCATTGCTCTACATTTTTGTTTAAGTGCTCATTCTAAGATGTAAATAAGACTGCGTTAATAACTGTGCTAAATGTTGTGGTGGTTATCCATTTCCCGTAGGGTCAAGTTCAAAACCACCGAGCAAGAGCACAGGACCTTCCTTGGTTATCGTTCAAGCTCATTTCCAAATGTTCCCTGACGTATACGTACCTCCGCTTTTTTGAAATGTACTGTGATCTCTCAGGCATCCTAGGCTGTGCTCCTTGTCTGGACATCCCTCCCCTTCATGTCCAGCCGTTGTGTCCAGCTCCAGCATGGCCTCCGGTGGGAGATTTCCTGGACCATCACCTGTACCCTGGCCACCCGCCCCACCAACTCCCGCAACACTCTGCGCACCAGGTTCCTGCCTCCACGGATGGCTTGCTTTGCACTCGTGTTTTGTGTGTATCTTCCCCACGGTGCTCCAGGCCGCCTGATAGCGAGTGTATTTGTGTTAGTATCTTTCAAAAGTAGGTTAAAGTCAAGACCTTGGTAAAGTATGTTAAAGGAACGAACGAGTGTATGAGGAAACTTGTCTAATACGTAATTGGAATGGTAAGTGGAATCTCCAAAAGCGAGGTAGATTGAATTCTCCTTGGAAAGCAAGAGGGGTATATAGAAACTTTTATTTTTATTTTTATTGTTACTTTTTAGACTATTGGATTTACTTCCTGCTCTAGGGCTCTAATTTGTATTCTTATGAGCTGATGGAATGGAGGCAAGTTTATGAAAATTCTATGTGAGCTGAAGAAACCTCACAGATCTTCCAGTCTAGTTATGTAGACATATAAACAACTGAAACAGTATGATAAGGCCTATTATAGTCTTGGCACTGGTGGGGAGCCCAGAAGATGAGTATATAGCTATTTGTTATCGAGTGTGGGTGGTATAGTGGTCAGGAAACAACTATGTTGTCCTTCTAAACCATGTTTAGAAATAAATGCAAATGCTGAAGAGGAATTTTCATTTTAGTACAATGTTGGAATGCAATGTTGAAATTAAGATCAATGTTGCCATTACTACAGAATCCTGAAGTAAAGCAGAAGCCATAGCTAAAATATAAATCTGCTGCAGCATAATGGAATGTCTTTGCTCAATACCCTTGTTTATCTTCCTGCATTAAACAGATAAATGAATTTCTAACTGCCTTTGAGATTTCATAATTCTCAGAAGCAATGCTTTTCTCTTTTAAGCTGATTTCAAAGGAAAAATCAAATATCCCAAAAACCACATAGGCAATGCTTGGAATGAATCACTTTACAATTAATTATAAAAGAAATAAAAGTTCTCTTTCTATCATTCTCCCTCCAATGTGTATATATACATAAAATATATATATATATATAAAATGTTTCCCTGAGAAGTGAGAGATTGAATGTGCAAACAGACAATGGCTAGACCATAGGAAAACATAGAAGTCTGACCCACAACCTGTAGCAACCTGCCCAGGGAATCGATGCATAATCTACAGTAAGCAGCCTAGGAAGCCACCTGCTGTCTTTGTCAGACTTTGAGGAATGCAGACCACCACATCTAGTGAACACTCCAGAAAGCCAAACATAACCCCTTTAATAAATGGACCGAAATGGCTAGGACTTAATTAATAACATAGCTTCCCTAATTGTAGCCCCTTGAGTCCAACGTTAAGACTGACTATAGAAAGCCAAATACCCACTTCGCCAAATACACTGAGCGCCCCATGTCACAGGCAGCATGCCTCCAGCTTCCCTGGCCAGCAGCCTCCAGTAAAGGCACACCTAGAGCTTTCCCTTTCTTCCATTATAAAGCTTTCACAGTCCTCTGCCTGTCTTTGAGTCTCGGTCAAAACTCTGGAAAGTGATGGTGGCTGACTCGCTGGTAATAACAAGCTTTCAAAGAATAGCCTTTGCCTATTGGCACTTGGTTGGTCTTTGTTTATGCTCCTAAGATTCAGGAAATTAGAAAGGTTTTAGGAGCTCTGTGTCAGGAACTAGATGCAGATATCTATCTATATTTTTTTCTATTATTTCACATCTACTTATGGAAAAAACAATGGGCTATTTCCTCGGTGTAACACAGTCCCCGTCCCCTTGCATAAAACAGGAAGGATGTCTGTGGCTCAGTTAATACAAAGGCATTGATGAGGGTATCAGTGACATTTCTCATGGCACAGGGAGAATCATGGTCATAAGGAATGAGGCAAAAGATGTGTTAATTTTGTAAAAATGTATCTATTAACCTCCAACCATAGGAAAGGAAGGCAAAATGGTTGTGTGTTTCTACTTTGAGTGGTTTGGGTCACAGGCCTGCCTCCAGCGAGTGTTTCTTACCCCCATCAATCCATGTAGACTGGAATTGCGTAATGGGGTCTTCTCACTCCAGCGCACCCCAGACGACCAGAGGGCAGTTCTGGAGTCTGATTCTGGGTCAGGGCTGTTCTGGGTCCCCTGCTCCCCTGCTCCCCTGATGGTTCTTCTCAGGAGGCCCCAATGGCACTAGCAACTGACCTCTTTTCACGCGTTACTTCCACCTCCCAAGATGTGCCGAATACTGAGATGCCAGGTGATGCTAAAGGGAAAAAAGGTTTACTCTTCAACTACATCAAGAGAGAAAGAGGAAAAAAAGAAACCCTGATAAAGTCAAAATTTAAAGCTGCAGAATGAGAAAAACTGGCCATAAAGCACCCAGTGAATTTCAAAGCCCTGCAGCCAAGGGCAGAATGCATGTGGCTCCAGGAGGTCATGCGGCATACCAGCTCGCTTTCTGGCAGGGCAAAACCACACCTGCTGGACCCAACAGGGAACCCAAGCACAGTCTTCTCTCCCTCAGAGTACAAGCAAGAGCTTGGGAAGAATACATGGTATCTGCCAAACACACATTTGCATCAGAATTCTTTAAAACCAACTAGAGAAGCAAAGAGAAATGTTTCAGTATCTGGAAGAAGAAAGAGTGTATCTTGTAGGGAAATACGTTGTTTGCATGAATATACAAACCCCATAGTAAATTCTTTGTTCAAACTTCTACTGAGCAAATAGACAGAAGCAAAACAGGAAATGAAATGCTTTGATTGAATCCTTTCTGTAAGGAATATTTTAATTCCTTAGGTATTGAGCCAAATGTCAGAAGGCTTCTGGAAGAACCAAATAGCACCCCCTGAGGTTGTCTTCCTGGAATCAGAAGCTGGTGAAGTCACTGATCTCGGTCCACCAGGGCCTGGCAGGGTCATCCTGTTGGCACTGTCTCTCATAGTTGGGGGAGGCACTGTCCACCCACTATAACCAGTGTTTTAATGGTCTTATTGAGAGTGAGACATTCCTCATTCTTTAAGATATTTTAAAAACTATAGGCAGAGATATCCTTGAGGATAATGGCTCAGTCCTATTTGTTTTCCAGAAGTGCTACTTAATAGCTGTGTGATTTTATACAAGTCATAATAGCTTGGCTTCAGTTTCCTCAACTGTAAAAAAGTGGTAAGTATATATGTTGCAAGAGAAAAAAAGTAAGAACACATGCCATCAAGCATGTGAAAGAACCTATCAGAGCACCAGAGACTTCACAAAACTTCATTTTGTAAAGAGGTACGAATGCCTACAGATTTAAAAGGGACAGTTCAGTTCCCAAGTGAAGAGTTAAGTTATCTTCCCATGCAAAGATCTGATGGGAATGCTATTTTAAAATGAGATCTTAAAACAAAATCCAGCACAAAATATTCCATAGATAACAAACTCATTTTAATGTTTATGAAAAGCAGACACCAAGTCTCGCTACTTCGGTGTCCAGGATTCAGTAGAAATGCGAAGTATGCAATTTATCTTTCATGTTCAAGCCCATCCAACCATCCTTTGCCCCAGGCTCTCCCCTGAGAGTGCATTTGATGACTGAGTCAAGTTGCTTTTTTGGCACCATTTTTCAATGCCAATCATGCAGTTCATGTTTAGTTTTTATTATTATTTCAAAACCCGATCTAGAAAATATAAAAAAATTTAGTGGAATGAATTCTCAATGAAACTTTGAACCCTTGAGGAACTCTTATAGTGAAATTAACAAGGCGTATTGGACAGAATGTTGGCACCAAATGAACACATGACTGAAAAAGTATGCTTTTTTGGCACCATTTTTCAATGCCAATCATGCAGTTCATGTTTAGTTTTTATTATTATTTCAAAACCCGATCTAGAAAATATAAAAAAATTTAGTGGAATGAATTCTCAATGAAACTTTGAACCCTTGAGGAACTCTTATAGTGAAATTAACAAGGCGTATTGGACAGAATGTTGGCACCAAATGAACACATGACTGAAAAAGTGATTGTTATTGTTTGCACTTATTTTTAGAAAAAGGGAGCCCTAGTGTTGACTTTCATGCAACAAAATCATTTTTTTCCCATTTCCTGTGATTCGTTCAGTGGTACTAAGAGTTGGAGTGATCATTTTATGTTAGACTTTATGTAATTTATCTCATTTGATCCTTACCACAAACTTATGAGCACTTTTTTATTACCCTCATTTGACACACATGAAATCATGTCTTGTAGCTGTGGCTCCTGGGATCAGTTTAAACAGAAAAGTGGAAAGGTAGCACAGTAATAAGAAATTAGGTGGGATGAACATAAATTTGCTAATATCTGAGCACTATCTTATTTTATCTTAAGTAAAAATTGTGGACTGTTTCCCTGAGAAAAGTTTTGACAAGGAGTAAATAAAAATCAGAGTTTGGGACTTTTGGTTCCATCTATGAATGATTAGCCAGTACAGGATTTGCCCTTCCATCATAACAACTAGGAAACCAAACAAAAAATAGAAAATAACTACTTTCAGACATAGAATGATAGGCAATGTGATCCTGACAGAAGGTAGATAAAAGATCCGTATGACTGCTCCATTTAGGAAGAAGTTTCGAAGTGTATCCCAAGGAAAGCAACTCACACAAAGCCCAGAGTTCTTATTGAGCTAAGGAGAGAAACATCAGAATGTGGGCAGCTAAAATTTAAAGGGAAGAATTCCAGAAAGGAGACAGATGCAGAGATGGAGGGGAGACCAGAGATAGAACAGGAGAGACAAAGTTGAAAAGAGAGCTCTAGTTTTCGGCAGATCCTCTGCAATCTTTGGCTGAATATAAACTTGTGTATAGGAAGACTGAAACTCTATGAAGCTGGAAGGAAAAGCAGTAGACAGAATAACTCCCATAGTTCACACAAGAGCCATAAAACCTGGTGTCAGATAGAAAGTTCAAGAAGATGTTGTCTCAGTAATTGGGCTAAATTAGCCCTAGACTAAAAGTTGCTTTAGACTTGCCCTAAACAAGCTTAAGAGTTAAGTATTGAAGGAACTAAACAGATATCAAATAAATTAGCTGCATGCCAGACAAAGCCAACAATATAAAATTTGTAATATTCAGCACTCACTAAAAAATTGCCAGGAATGCAAAGCAGTAAAATTGATCCAATACCAGGGGGAGAAGATTGGTCAAAAGAAACAGACCCCAAAATGGCAGTGATGATGTTGTTAGCAGACAAGGGTTTAAAATAGCTATTATAATATGCTCATATTCTCAAGGTGTAGAGAAATACATGAACATATCGAGAGAAGAAATGAGTGACAACTGTATTAAAAAAGAACCAAATAGAACTAGACATGAAAAATATAATATCTGAAATGAGAAAAATCACTGGATGGGATTAAGAACAGATTAGACACTGTGGAAGAAAAGAACAATGACTTTGAATACACAGCAATAGAAACTACCCAAAATTAAACCCAGAGAGATACAAAGATTAGGGAAAAAATTGAATGTAGGATCAGTGACCCTATGGAACGCTATTAAGAAGCCTTATATGTGAAACTTGAATTCCAGGAAGTATGAGAGTGCATTTGATGAATAAGATATGGAGGGGATTTCTTGGCCTGTAAAACTAGGAGGTGGATCTTCAGCCTTACTACATTTAAATTCTCAAAAGATGTGAGGGATATGCCTGTTTATTTTCTCATTTCTGCTTTGTTCTGAATTTTGGCTTCATTCTATATGAAGACTCGCCTGGAGACAGGAAATGGCCTTTAACAATTGTATATTTATTGTCTTCCTGTTTGCCCACTCAGCAGAGAACTGCTCTTTCCCGGGGCATATGAATCAGCAATTCCGGGAAGGACTCTGACTGGATCAAGGTGAGTCACGTGTCCGCTGAGACTAATC